TTCTTCTCTTCTGATTATTTTAGCGTCAAACCTGACAACGTCGGCTTCAAAACTTCCAAGGTGGAAGCAAAAATATCTCATATCTTGAATGATCTTTAGAGATGATAATGTAATGCTGTCCATTTCTCATAGTTATAAAAGCACGACAGTTGCATGCATTCTTCGGCTTTTCGCAAGTTCAACAGCTACTAGTGCTTTTTCCCACAGTAATAAAAAAACGTAAGACTACATACTTTCCCTTTGAGGAAAAAAACATTTCCAATGGTGGTTCTGTATTACACAGAATGCGTTCGATTACATAACAAAAGCAATTTCTAACTACAGTCTCAGATGCCGCTGTCTAAAATCCAGTGTAGCACAAATTGCATAAATTTTATCATCGCGTGCACATGCTCTCTTTTTAGTTTACCTTTATTCGAGGAATAATCGATCAATCCCTTCTTTCGACCAGTCGTAATTCTACTTGTCGAGTCTCTGACCAGTTGTTTTTAGACAATCTTTCGTATCCGATACATGTAATTAGACCATTTTAATACTTGTAAGTCAGTATAAAAACAGTTATACAGAACCAAAAGATACAAAACATAAAAGAATTATCGTGAGAAACTCAGAAAAAAAGGAAAATTATGTGCAGAGTCACTGAAACATCCAAACTGAAAACTTTAGTGTTAAGTTGTTTTTGTGGCTTATCTCACTTGTTTGACCTAATCAGAACAAGTACATGAATTTTGTCATAGCAAACAGCGCAAGATAATGTTCGTCGTTGTCATGAACTTTGAACACCATATAGGTGACAGAACGACTTGCCCAGTTCCGTCTCCGTGTTAATGAAGAATGCCTGAGGGACGGTTCTGAGGTTCTTCCACCATGGACCTTATAAGAAATAGACTAACCCAAATGGGTTTTCTCCCTCATCTGAGGCGTTGCCGGCTGTCACCTTGATCACATCCGGAGGAGTAGGGACGACTTGCAGAAATTTAACACTGGTTGTCAGCGTGTATAATTATCAAGAAAAAGCTGTATGTAGCGCCTCATTTCACAAATTAGAATTTCTATATATTTTTATTTTTGAAATTGAGATTGATTTTTAAAACTTTAGCATATTTATCAAGCATAATTAACGTTTCAAATAATTACAAAGCTATTGCATGCTTTCAGGGCTGGATATTTTTTTTAGCTTTTCCTATGCTGTAAGGAAATTTGTAACTACTTCTTTTAGAAAATAATATTTTAAATCTGAACTAATAGAAAATTTCAAACAAGCAATTTTCTTTTGCAATTTTTATGCTTTTCATTGGTGTAAATAAGTAAAAAGTACTAAAATATTTAAAAACGAAATTTTGAAAGTTTTGTTTAAAATTCTAAATTGTGCTGCTTTTTTAAAATTATAGATGAGTATTATAGCACAATTTATTGTCTTTATTTTATCTTTTTTCCCCTTCATTACGCTTAGAATATTTTATGCTCCGAATTTTATGAATTATTAAAATAACTAATCCACTTTAATGTTAACAATTTAGTGATCATATAATCAAATAAACATGATCGTTTTGTAATGTTATTATAGTTTGGAAAATCACTGCCTGAAAATTTTCATTAAATTAAAAAAAAAAATTATCAGACTTTGTTTAATTTTACCTTATTTATTTCAAAGCATCACGTACTATCAATCTTATTTAATTTTACTTTATTTTTACGCAAAATTAAGTTCATAAATTTTGTGCTTAGAGTTTTTACCGTTTTACCAAAGTAAAGAAGTTTGTACAAGAATTACGCGTGAAAAAAATGCGCGAAATGCAGTAAAAAGTGCTTTAATGAGATATATTAAATCCTATTTGGAAAAAACTGTGGCTTTCATAATATCTTCACTATACAACGTATCACATTTAATAATTAAAAAGAGTTATGTGATACAAACGCCATAGGTTTCAATGTTAAAGTAAACCAGAACGTCCCTACTCTTTCTTGCCGACATGTCGGTGACGCGCGCCGCCCACTGGGTTAGTCTATTTCTTATAAGGTCCATGTCTTCCACCCCTCGTCCCCTAGTCCCAAAGCACTCTAGAAAACTGTTGGCCGCTGTGTATTTTGAGTGCCCCCATATCGGATAGACACTTTATACTTAAAAACATCCATGCTTTTTCCGGAATTCGAACTCGAATCCAACAACACAGCAGACAGGAGCACTATATTGATCAGGGCTGTTTAATGTTAAGTAGAAATGTATAAGTAATTAGTCTGATTCTTATTAATTACAAGTCTCATTTTGATTCATTTACGTATCATAAAAAGATGAAAATCAAATCACAAATTAAATCAAGAAAGGGATTAATAGTGTAACCAAAAGTAAACACATCAAAATTGAAACAAAAACAATTCAATAAAATAGTACAATAAATGTAACATAATGAAATTAATATAAAATTGTTTTTGAAAATTCCTCGGCCTTTTTCAAGGAGCAACCGAAGAATTTTCAACAAAGCCACGTTTTTGGATGATACCTGAATGACTTCTAATTCTTGAAAAATTTCAAAAGAAATAAAAGAAAATACTAAATGAAAATTAATTAAATAAAAACTATTAAATTAAGGTCCATTAAAAATCCAATAAAGTAAAACTTTTAAAAAAACAATTTTTAATTTGAATTAGTCACCAAGATAAAATCTACTCCGACGTAACTCAAAAAAAAAAAAAAAAAAAAAAAAAAAAAAAAAAAAAAAAAAAAAAAAATTACTGCAAAAATACACATTATGAAAAGAATTCTCGATAAGAAGCCAAAACTATCATTGAATAAATCAAATCCAATATACGAAATAATATTAAATAAATTTCAAACAGGAAAGGTAGAACTGCTAAAAACCTTTGCAAATCAAAAGCAGTTATTATAAATCAAAAGAAAAGATATTTCAAGTCAAAATTTGAGGAGATGAATTTCTTTAGAAGATATTTACCAAAAGTAAAATAAGTAAGAATTTTTAAAAATGATAAATGCAGAAATGTTTCCAAATTGAGGGGGGGGGGAACCAAAAAATTCGAAAATGGAAAGCTTGTAACCAAAAATGGAAAAAGGAATAATAATTAAAATAAAAATTGAGAAAGACAATATGCCTAAAATTGAGATCAATAAATAAAATTGAATCAATCAATGAAATTTAATTAATTGAAAGAAATATAACAAGGAAAACAAAACCTAAATGCTGCAAATCAAAGCACATGACTATCCTCCTCGAAATACTCGGGAATGCTGTTTAGATTTTACAGTCGAATTGAGTGGTAGGCGAGAAGTTTGACTGAATTGAAATAATAAGAAAGCAAGAACCGAGATAAGGTGTAAAGACCCAGCGTGTAAAATTGAAAAATGAAACTGGAGATTTTAAACTAAGTGTAAAATTTATTAATCACAGAACAATAAAAGAAATACTAAAAATTACTTCTTAAAAAAGTAATTTTCAGAAAAAATAACAATAAAATTAAGTTTCAAAAATAAGTGTGAAAGGAGTGGAAAGAAATTTATAAAATTCTGATCAAAATATATAAAATTCGTTTTTTTATTACGGTTTTAATTTTTTAAAAATAATTTAAATTAATAGAAGTAAATAAATTAACAATTTATGAAAAAGTAAGAGTGAAAATAAATGTGTGAAAAACGTTTTAAATATATGTAAAAAGGATTTATGATAAAAGTTCATGTGAGTAATGGGGAGTTAAAAAAAAAGTTATTGAAAAGGAAAATGGTTGAGTAACAAATAAAATGTCTTTTGGCGTATAACGGGACTGGAAATGGCCATTTGTTAGCTGGAGATAGAAGAACTATTTACAAATTTACAAGGATATTTCAAATTATATACGTTAAATTCCTTAAAATTTGGTTTATGTAAATGATATAAGTAATAATAACAATTTAAACGACCTAATTTATAATTTTTGAGGTGGTTAGTAAAATTAAGCGGTATTACGAATAAGTGTATTTTTAAGATGTGGAATTTCTTGATTAATGTCTTTAACAATAGTGTAAACAATTTTAATTCTCAGAATCTGGTTGATAATGGTGTTAGCAATTACTTTTTTAGAAATATTGGAATTCCAATGTATGAGTTTAATTGGTAGGGAATTTAGGAAGTCCTTTTTTCTTTTATCAAAAACTTCAATTTATTTAAAGTTGAGGATGTAATAGATATATACATTAAATATTCATACGTTAATAGTTATAAAATGCATGATTTGAATTCGCATCGAGAGAAGATGTTAGTATATTAAATCAGTCTGGATAATCAAAAACAAAAACTGGCATTTTGTTGTAATTTCATCTTAAACTCCCTTATACTTTAAGACAGTTATTTGCTTTTAATAGTAAATTTTATATTTGTTATTACTGTAAGAATACTCTTATTATTACATAAAAGTAAATATACTTCAGACTCTGTAACTAAACGGGGTCTTTCTCAAATTTGAAGGTGACAAATATTTTATATGTAAAAGCACCTTTTCTCTTCGTACACCCTTCTGCTCTTTCAATCCGCCTTCTTCTTTCTGAAGAATTACTGTCTGCAACAATTCGAATGCTTTTCTGTTTATTTCTGTTTTTACTTTAGATTTATCTTAATGTTTCACAAGCTGTAAATGCTTACTTTTTAATTATATGATGTTAATTGTAATTCATGTAGTGCTAAATTCCATCTCAATTGAAAGAGAAAGTTGTTAAAAATGACATGCCTTGATAAAATAGTATTTGAAAACAATATGCTTAAAGAGTTTTGTTTTACATTCCAAAATAAAAAAAATATCTTTCCTGAAGCACAATAGATCACGAAATCATGGCATAATTTGGGTCCACCCACATTTTTCATTAAATCTTTAATAATGAATTTTACTGTACAACCGTACTTGTAACCACAAGGGAATAAAAGCCTTTGGAGAACGAAAGTCTATTGCCATAGCAATTAGACAGTATCACGCAGCGCAAATGTCATTTTCTCGCGCATGCGTTGGGGGTAGCGCTGAAAAGCTTCTGTTTCTATCTTCGGCACAACTTAAAGGTATGTCCTCCTTGTCAAGAAGAAAGCGAAAATGTTGAAAAGTTTCATACGTCGGATAATTTTTCTATGTTTCTTTTTCAATATTGGGTAAGTTAAGTTGACTTTTTTTTTTCATGTTAGTGTACATGTTGTATAAGATAGATATGTATTCAAAAACTATAATTTCTAGCAAAAAGAAAAACGGTTTCGATTTCTATTACTTCAAGAAACTTTTCAAAACAAATGCAAAGCACACACTAGAATTTTTATTTCGGCTTCACTGTGATGTTGCGCTTAAAATTTCATTTTTATTTATTTTTCTGAGTACTTTTCGAAATTTATCAACTTTGAATTACGTAAAGATTTCATAGATTTGTCACGAGAATAAACAAAAGTTTAATTTCCTAGACTTGTTGTACATATTATTTTTAACATTAAGTTTATTTTTCTTTAGTTTTAATAAGTTTTCTGAAATAATTTTACGTTCGCTATCTATATAATATAGGTAAATTTCAGTTATAATAAAAATGCAAATCAAGATTATAGATAATGGGGGATTTAAAAAAAGAAATTGCACGAAAGCATAAAACATCATGTGTTCACTTTATCTTTATGTTGGTTAAAAAAAATATTTACACGTAACAAGAGCATAGCATGTATAATACAGCTGTTTAATGTAAAAGAGTTTAAAATTAAGATGCTTAACTTTAAATAAAAACACCTGAAAAGCAATGAAACATTAAAATTTACCATTAACATTTTTTTAACATTCCAGTATATTTTTTAACATAATAATTTGCTACAATTTCTCAAACTGAGAAAAGTGATTTTAGTTTATTTTTCAATCTTTAATGAAGAAATACGTGATTATAAATACTAATGCAGTATTCACATTTAATTGAAATTAGACAAGAAAATTGTTAAAGTATTGAAAATGCGCTGAAATGACAATCAAATATTTTGACTGTAATTTTTAAGCGGATTGTAACCGTTAGTAACAGTTAGTGTTTATTTTATTTTAGTCTTCGAAATGGCAATAGATTAATGAAATTTCTTACATAACTACAAAGCCTTTAAAACTCATCTTTCCCAAGAAAAATGATCTGAATTTTAAAAATCAATTTCGGCCAGCACTAATTCAATATTCTTTCAATATATTTTATTCATTTTTACAATTTATGCTATCATTTGCTTGCAAAATTCAAGGTTTCAAATGATTTACCACAGCTATTTGTTGATTTATCTACCTCATTTCAATTCTGTAATTTAGAATCAATCCAGAAAGGAACAAAGACTAGTGGAATGAAAATGTATCGAAAACGATCATGCAGCATTTTATCTTCAGTTAGATAATGTTACTCAGAGTCTTTTCAAGAAATGATTCCGGTTAGTTGTAAATTTTAATTTGAAACTTTTCTGACCTGAAACTGTTACCATCAAATTTCGAATACTTCCTTGGTCATTGGAAAAGGGCTTAGAAAATGTTTTTAAACATTAATTTCGTGCTAAAATCTATTAAATGTAAACCCATAAAATTAAATAATATAGGCCATGAATTAGTTTAAAGTAAATTGTTTACTTATACTAAAATAATTCGTAATCATTAATGGTAAAAATGTTCTGTTGTTTCTGGATTAACAGTTTCTTTTTTATTAGAGAATTTACTGCTTCATCATGGTTTCGCTTTAACGAAGGAATTTAGCTCAGTCTAACCTTTTGGAAATATGGAAGCATAGGTTTTCAAACTAGCAGAGATACAGGTACATTTATTAGCTTGAGAATATTTTATTCGACGAAATATCATTTATAAAGATATCAGTATTATTCAAATATACTCAGAGCTTAAATTGCACCGGTACTTCTTAGTTTTTAGAATAAATCATAATTCTAGCCGGAGCGCACTGGAGCCCTAAATAAGAATGCTCCGGCGCTTCTTTTATGTAACTGAACAACAATTTTAGTAGAAATTTGATTTCGAAAATTTTATTTTTGCAAGAAAAGACAGGAAATTTTAGTATATCTCTGGACAGGGTTTATTTAATTTGGAAGGAGGGAAAGAGGGAAAGGGATATTTAGGTAGGGATTTAAATATTATTTAAAATTATTTATGAAATTTATATTTATTAAATAATCGATAAATATAATTACTAATATTAATTAAATAATTATTAAATAATTGATAATAATTAACTATTTAATTTTTAAATTATTAATGATTTTAATAGTCATTTTATTTATTTATTTACTTTGTTCCTCTTTGCTGACGGTCTTTCATAGGGCTTCGGCACTTCTAATTTTAGAAATTAAGCCCTAAATATAGTAATTAATTTATAACTTTATATTCTATAAATTCTAATTCATATTTGTACGTGTTATTTTAATTTATAATTTCTGCATTTCGAAATTAACCCACTTAACGTAATATTTTTCTCATTCAGAAATGTAAAATTCCTGTCGTTTATTTAACATTTAGGAAAAAAACAACTATGAATCAAATGGAGAACTTTTACTTGGAAAAATGATCATCATAAAAAAAAAAAAAAAAAAAAAAAAAAAAAAAAAAAAAACTATGTACTATGCGTTTGCCCTCTTAATTATTTTTAGTTTTCTACTTTACTTCAATCATTTTTTGCCTTAACAATATTTAAAAGTGCAAAAAACTTCTTATTTCAAATTTGTGTTACAAATTTCTTTTATTTAATACCATATTTCCTCCTTCAAAATTAGGAAAGCCACCTCTGTGATAGCTGGTAAAATGAACATACTTATGAAAACAGGTTTTCAGAAAGAGTTAAGTACATGTCACATTTACTGGAAAGTATGTCTTTGCAATGCACGAAATATACCGGAAACTATAATATGTAAGCGGCAGATCAATACTTTAAAGAACATTGCATAAGGTGGGATATATTTTGGGATACAAGTCTAGAACTTTCCAGTGTAAAAGCTGAAATAAAAAGGGAGTGTTCTTGTTCTTTTTTATATTTCAGCGTAAATACAGTGAATAAATTAATCAAATAAAGAAATTCAAAAAGGTGGTGTAATTAAACGCTGTCTAAGACATTTCGAGCCCGACTTTTCGGTCCCGTTATTTCAGTCCCTGCGTTCCGGGATTAAATTTAAATGCTTATGCCTGTTCTTTCCAATTTCTTCTCAGCCCTTTCTCTACGGGGTACATTCCAAGTAGTACCACATTTCCAGTGCAGGGGGTGGGACATAAGCCTTGCATGATGCACTAGGACATGCTGAGCTGTGATAAGCTTATCAAATCTACAATGCTACTTGAAGCTACTGTAGCGGTTAGTTTTATGAGACGTGCACCTGCCATATTTTGAAAGAAATGACCGGAATATTGTGCAGCAGATATCAGATCCTGTTCGAAACTACAGTATAATAGATTCACTTTCGGTTTTTCACAAATATGTTTCCTCTGGAAGAATATAAGTCTACTGACAGCCGTACAGTAAAGGAATACTAGAGAGAAACTGCATAAAATATTTTCACGGATGACTAAACAAAAATTTATGTCTGCTTGTTTTCCGCAGCATGATATTATTTAATTACGTTTTTAGTATTGTATGCAATTATTTAACTGTATAATCTGGTGTAATTATGTTCATTAGACAAACAATAAAGGAAAGAGGAAGGATATCTGTGCTAATTACATCCACGTGGTGCAGTGTGTAAACTCTTTCAAACATTTTCATCTTTATAACAGTAAAATAAGTGAAGTTCTTGAAAAATAGGCTAAATGTTAGCTACAAAAGAAACTACATAATGTATATTCCGATGTATAACGCGCAGCGGTGTATAACGCCCACCTCTAATTTCAAACTACATTTTTTTAAAGTATATTCGCTGCATAATGCGCGCCCCTTTCTTTACGAAGAAACCTGAAAGAAACACGCGCGATATTGTTACCTTTTGAAGTCATTCATTCAAGATTTTCCCCAGACTTTCTAACTCTCGTATTCTGAACTGACAAGCAATTAGGGTAACAAATATTGAGTGGGAGAAATGCTTGAGGGAGTAAATAATTCTGCAAAGAGGGTAGGTTATACTCAATGCAGATGTGCACAAGATAGTTATTCTAGGTTTTCAAGAAAGGGGGACATAATTTGGGGTAAGAATACACTTCCAACCCGAAAGAACTTGCAGAATTATGAGTCAGATGTTTTCTCTTTCTGTACTTATTTAAAACCGTGATTTTGAAGTGAATATCGTAGGCTTTGGTAAATCGCATTTACTGTAGTTGAAATAGAATTGATTTAGTGTTCCTTTCAGTAGTAAATATGGCTCCCTCGAAACGAAACAAACACAGTGCTGGTTTGAAATGCGAAGTCATTCAGTTTGCGAAAGAAACTGGAAATCGTGCTGCAGCAAGTATGTTTGGTGTTAATGAAAGCTTCATACGGGTGTGGAACAAAAATGAAATTAATGGGCCAAACAGTGTGTGCTTCACGTGAAATGGCCTATCCTAGAAGAAGGTGTTGCAAACTGGTTCCTAGAAAATAGCCCAGAATGGATTAATTGTAACAACAAACAATGTACTTTTATTTCCCTTCTACTACATACTAATAAATAGTAGACAAAAATGAATGTAAGTGAAAGGGAAAACATTAAAGCAACTTTGAATTGGTGGAATCAATTAACACCACTACGAGGAAAAACAACAGTTTCGCAAAGGCTTCTAAAAATTTGGACAACAAACTGATAAATTTCTATAAGTATGTTATCGACCTACGAAGTCAAAAAATTATTCACTTTCACATATTGAAATATAGGTGAAACTCCAGTAATGTTTGATGTGATAGGAAATAAAACAATTTATGTAAAAGAAACAAAAACTGTTCAATAAAAACAACAGGTTACGAAAACTCTCACTTCATTGTAATGCTTTCCTGCTTATCGGAGAGTACAGGTATTATTAGTTATTTTAAAACCACCATGGTTATTTTTAAAAGAAAGTCGATTCAGAAATGTAATTTCCCAAATGGTGTTTTTCTTCATCTTCACGAGAAAGTGTGGATGGACGAATATGGTGTGAAATTGTGGATAAGATATGTTTTGTAAAATGGTCTTGTTGTCTTAAAGAATCCAGAAAGTCT